GCTCTCTCAGGGTCTCAGAAACTACTCCCTTCCTGGCTCCTTCAGGACTGAGTAATAACGGCTCTTACCCTGAGTTGTTTCATCATCCCTGTTGGTCTTCTTTAACCCTGCTCAGCTCTGTAAATAGTCCCTTCATCTCCTCAATCACAATTGGGAGTGTGCCAAGAGATAACTGATATACCCAACGAACTACTCTCTGCCCTCCCAAGGGCTCCTGTTGCCCTTAACAAATAGCACGTTTCTCTCTCAGTAGTAGGGTTCTGTATGTTTCCACACATGAACTGATCACTACAAATCAATTCCCTATGGAAATGTCATAATCCCAGGCTGATTCTCAATTCTGCCACCAATGTGTACGAACTTTATGTAATATCAGATGGGACAAAGACTAATTAAGAAGGTAAATGTTACTAAAAATTCCTGACACACAGACTGCAAAGCTAAGCCAAATACTGGGATTTGAGGGTTTCTCTATTTATAACTCCCTCTTCCTTTAGACTAAAGGCTGCAGAAATTATTATTTACTTATTATAGTTTTGCTTTATTTTAAACATTGAAACAATGCCAAATACGGTGCTCATCCTACAATGGCCACTCAAATTATCAACAAAATTTTGAATAATCTCCCCTTTCTTCTAGACAATCCTACAAATAAGACACTGGATTAGAAATGAGCTTTTTGTGCCCATCTTTCAATTTATTGCTTAAATCCCAATTGAGATTCAGCAAGAAAGCATCCTTGAAAAAGATCCAAGGGTTAAAGATAAAGCTCTAAGATCAGGAAAGACTCTATTTTTGAACCTGAAAAACAAAACTAAAATAGGTTTAGTTTTGTTAAAAAAAAAAAAAAAAAAAGGGGGGGGGGGGCCCTGCAGCCCTGGCCAGGTTGCTCAGTTGGTTGGAATGTTGTCCCATAAACCAGAGGGTTGTGAGTTCAATTCTCCATTGGGATGCCTAGGCAACTGATCAATGTTTCTCTCTCTTCTCTCAACCTCTCTCTTCCTCCCTCTCTCCTTTTCTTTTTTTAAAAAGCAATACACATATCCTCAGATGAGGATAAAATAAATACTTTCTTTTAAGAAAAGTGCTGCAGCTAAAACCGGTTTGGCTCAGTGGTGGAGCGTCGGTCTGCAGACTGAAGGGTCCCAGGTTCGATTCCGGTCAGGAGTATGTACCTCGGTTGCGGGCACATCCGCAGTAGGGGGTGTGCAAGAGGCGGCTGGTCAATGTCTCTCTCTCATCGACGTTCCTAGCTCTCTATCTCTTTCCCTTCCTCTCTGTAAAAAAATCAATAAAATATATTTAAAAAAAAAAAAAAAGTGCTGCAGAAATATTGCAAATGAAAGCATTTCTTAAGAATGTGCCTGTGGCCCTGGCCCACGTGACTCAATGGATAGAGTGTCAGCCCTCGCACGGAAGGGTCTCAGGTTCAATACCCAAAGGCACGTACCTGGGTTACAGGTTCAATTCCCACCCCAGTCGGGGCACAAGGAGGCAACCAATTGCCACATCAATGTCTCTCTCACATCAATGTTTCCTCCGCCTTCCTCCCTCCCTTCCACTGTCTCTAAAAATCAATAGGGGGGGGGGGGGGGGGGGGGAGAATGAAGAATATTCCTCTGCTGCAGAAGACCATGCTGTACACTCTCCAATACATATTCCAAAGCAGGGGGGGGGGGGGGGGAGAATGAAGAATATTCCTCTGCTGCAGAAGACCATGCTGTACACTCTCCAATACATATTCCAAAGCAGCAGGGCTTGATCCATGAGCAAAATAACCCCAAGTAACAGTATAACAAGCCCATTATACACACACAAAAACTCATTCTGCCTGGAATGATCCACATTAATGCCTGGGCTGCAAATACTGTTAAGAACCCTAGACCAGAGTGGGAAACTGTGTGCATAGTAGGGTTTTTAATTACATCCTTAACTCTAGCACTCCTCAAGTATGACAATCAAAAATGTTTCCAAGCACTGCCAAATGATCCTAGAGGGCAAAATCACCCTGGGATGAAAAACCTCAGCCCCAGACAAACAATTTTCACTCAAACCCAACCAGCACTACCATGGAACAAATGGCAGTAACCTTATTTACCCATCTGGACAGGAAAAGAGAAAAGCCACCTAAGGAGTAGGCTGGCCTTCTTCTTAGAAGTATTTGGCAACTTGTAACCCTAGCTTAGGGAGGAGAATAGTGATGAAAAGAATGGTTGCCAGAGTGAAGGAAGATTGCTAAAAATTGCCTGGCTTGAATTCTCTCCGAAAGCATCACACTTCTCAGATGAATACTCACTCATTTCACTCTCTGAGACATAGGTGGAAAGTAGTACAGCCCATGACATATCATATAGGAGCAAATGGAAAAAGGCAAGCAGTCAATCCTAACCAAATGAGGGCAAAATTAAGGACTGACAGCCCAAGCTTCTTATTCTGGAATACAAGGTTTGCCTTATGTAGATTCCAGTTGATCTTCAACTTTTATTGCCATAGCATACTGTCCACATATGTGGTTTTTAATCTTATCAAATCCAAAGACCTCTTTTTATAACAAATATTTTATAATGTCCCTTTATTATTCTAAGATGAAACTCAAAGATTATAACATTATAGGCATAACTTTTTAAATTTCAACATAATGCCTTAACTGCAATGTAAAAGAAAACAGACAGGAATATTTGTATAATAAAACACATATTTTCAGACAAGACTGTTCTTGAAGACACTCTCCTGGGCAGACACATACCCATCTCCAATGTGCCCGTTGAGGGTGGGGCTATCCCACCCCTTCTGCTCTACACAAACCCTCTCCCATCGTCACAAAGTCCCACGACCTCTCTCCCTTATGGAGCGGATGACCCAGGGGCAGCCTTACAGGTAAGAGGGAAGGATGGACTGTGGTAAATGTAGCTCCCCTTCACTGCTGACAGCCTAGCTAAGCCTGGTGTTCCGCCTGTAAAAGGAGGATGCCAGCATATTTTCCAAAGGGATTCTGTGAACATTAAATGAGGATGTAGAGTGTCTATTTCTGCACATAACATGGAATGTGTGCTCAATAAACATTAGCTGGCAGACTTACATTACTATTCCTGAATCCACCCTGTATTATTATATGTGTTAGCTTATGCCCATCTCATTCCCCCAGCAGAAAAGATCGATGACTGACTACCCACTTACCAGAGATTCTAAAACAGGACTCATGCACAACATAAGAAGTTGCATCATATGACTTCTATGATTGTTTCTGTGTTTCTACAAAATGCTGCCCTGCACTGATGTTTGTTACCTGGGACCCTTTCTTCCCAGTTAGAGGGCCAAGAATATGTCTTACACAACAACATACAAAGTAGCTAGAGAAACATCTTGAACTCAGATCATGGCAATTTAGTGCCCCCATTGAAAACCCACCCTGGTTCTTTACATTTTAGCTTCAAATAGCACAGTTTAGATGAGGAAAATATGACAACTTTTCCAGTGAAAGTTCCTCAACCGACATGTATGGTGTCTTAGGAAAATGATGAACCTCAAAGACCTGTTATTATCCATGTGAATTCCTTACACCAACAAGCAAAGCAACACCCCTAAACATTCTAGATTATCGACTGAGGAAGTGAGAAATAATGGCAACAGCCACAGAAATACTTCAAAACAAAACGAATTCCAAAGCTAATATTCTGAATAAAAGCACTCACTGCTCAGACTTTTAAAGGGAGCACAAAGGCCCAAGAAGTACTAAGCGCATCTCTGAGCAAGTTAATATATCCTACTCACACATAAAAATCTTAACTTACATAAGCATGCTGAGGAAAAACAGAAATTGCCAACTGGTAAAAATCATTCTCCATTAACCCTCTAAGGTGCTAACCGCTGCTATCCCTGAGTAGTGTAATTTGGGGAGGGGGGTGCTTCTTTTTGCTTATTTATAATAGTTTCCATTTTTTCTAACATATTGCTTACATAATAAGCATTTGAAATTATAATAAGACTGTTTATTTAATCTACTGACCATCCATAAGACTTAGGAAAGAGCAGAAACTGTAGATAAACCAAGTATTTATCTCTCTAAAATCATCCTTGTTCCCAATCGCAAACCAGAACTTCGTTTCCCTATGTCCTGCCGACCTTACAGGTTTGCCACTACAGCGAGTCAGCACCGGGTATGAGAAAACCTCACTGTTCCTTTTTGCCCATTTTCCAGTGACAGCCACCCCTCCCTGGGATGGTGAGACGAAGAGAGGGAAAGGAATTGCTTCTAAATCCATGATTTTGCAGAGAGACATCAAACTCAGTGAGGTGACTTGTTAAACATTAAATGCAGACATTTTTCCTATGTAGCGATTTGAAAGTTCTGGGTTCCCACAATTCTCCCAACTAAGGAGCCTCTATGGACTCATAACTGTCTCAAGACTAAAACGTCATTTTGGTGAACACTCATGTGGCAATGCTAGTCTCCCTGTTTGGTGAGAAAACAGAGCAGGAAGAGCTCAGGAGGAGAGGAAAAGGCAGCCTCTTCCACAGCAGGTATACACCTCAGCCCAACAAAACACTTCAGTTCAAACTGGTTCCATTCAACAAGCATTGGATCAGCACTTACTACTGCCGAACACCAGGGCGGGTGTTTATTCATTTCCATAAAAATAAGACGTATCAGCCGTATGAGGAATCATAACTGTAGCCCGGGAGACCATGACTTCTAAACTAGTATGTGACGGACCCAGAAGTTTTAAAATTGCTCTGGTAATATGGGAAGGGAATGATTAAAACCAACCACAAGCATTTTGAAAAAGATTCTTCTTCACGTATATGAAATATGTACTCATATATATTTAACTCAGTTACGTACCCACTTTAATCATTAAGCCCAAACGAGAGGTGGCAGAAATGCTCAGCTACCAAGCAAGCACCCGAGATGAAATCTACAACTCAGATCCCTCGGACTAAAAATAAAACGTAAGGGGCAAGTGCCTGGTCACAAGGAGGATGTTCGGGGAAACACTCACCAACATGAAAACGTCCGCACTGGGCATCTTCCTCTTCCAGCCCGGCTCCTCTGCAAAAGGGAACCAGGTCTATTTACTTCTGAAGCTTTCTGCTATCCCGTCGACCCGCCTAGATGAGCCGGAGCAGTCGAGAAATGGTTCTCTCCCTCCTTTGAGAGCTCGGATTTCACTCCCAGATATCACACTCCACCCCGGCACCCCAACCAGCGAATCAGAACCTCGCGGGCCCTAGGCTTCCCCTCCGACAGCCGACCAGACTCCGACCCAGCCTCCCACAAAGCAATGCCCCCAGGTAGGTACCAGGGGCACCGCCCAGCCCGCCCCCCACCGAGGCCCGGAGCCCAGAAGCCCGGCCCATTCAACCTCAGCCCGCGGGGAATCGCCCAGTCCCAGGGTCCAGCCTCCACCGGACTCTCCCTTTAAGAAACAGGCCGACCTCGCTCCCTTCATCCCTCCCTTTCTCCCTTCCTCCCTCCTTCCCCAAAACTCTCTCCTCCCGTGCAGAGGAGCAAATCCTGCCTGCCCAGCCCACTCCTACCCCTGCACGGGAGGCGAGTTCCAGACCCTGGCGCCCTCTCCCACCCACTCGCAAACCTGCCCACCCTCGGGGTCCAGACTCGGGGGTCGGCGCCACCCCCTTCCGCCCGGACCCGAGCCGGCCCTCACCCGCCAGCCCCTCAATACCCCCCGGGCCCTTCCTCCCTCCTCTCCGCACCCCTCCTACCCAAACCCTCCCCCCCCCCCCCCCCCCCCCCCGCAAGTCTGGACCCTGCTCTCTCCTCCGCGGCCGGGACCCGCCTCGCACTCAGTCCCTCTCCCCGCTCCGAAGCCCACCTCCCCGAGCCGGGCCAACCTCCTTCCTCCGGCGCCGCGGCGGCCTGTCTCCCTCTTCAGCCCGGAACCAGCTCCCCGGCTTCTGCGCTCGGACACAGGCGCCCACGGGGTCCCCTTCGCCGCGGGACAGCCCCGTGAGAGGCGAAGCTCGAGCTCCCCCTGCCGCCGCCGCCGCCGCCGAGATTAGAGGCCGCCCCGCCCCGCCCCTCTCCGCCCGGAAGTGGCTCCCCGGCCCGGCGTGCGCGGCCCCGCGCCCCCCCCCGCGCGTGCGCGCCTCCCCGGGGACCCACCGCGCGTGCGCGGCGCCTGCGGAAGGGGCTGCCCGGCTCGCGTGGGCAGGTGGAGCCTCCTTCTCGGGTCACCAGCCTCTCTCTCTGGCCACCTGTGGCCACTTGTAGCCCTCGAGAGCGTTGGCCTGCGGAGCACTACGGACTGATCTAAATAAACCACCCAGAGAGGGCCCTGCAGGAGGCCTCTGAATGTGCCCCTGTCTCTTACCTGAGGCCCTCTCCATCAAGGTCAATGGTAAAGGGACAGGAAACCTTCCTTAATGGAATTACCACCCTCACCATCCCCTCCCCCACGGGAACAGAGAGCAGAGACTACAGCTTGTTTGTGGAGGAAGGAGGAGTTTTGCTTTACCCTCAAGGTTCTTTCTGCTGGTCTTGTAATCAAACACATATGAGACGGAGTAGTAAGAGAAACGTGACCAGATTTAATTCCATTCAGATGGGAACCCCGCATGAGACCTCCTCCCCCCGAGGTACATGCGAGGTTCAGGGACAGAAACGGAAAATGAGGTACAGATGTGACATTCTGAGCTAAGGGGGCTTCAGAAGGTACTTGCAGGGAGAGCACAGGCTCAGTAATAAATAGGTAGTAAGAAGTCATTTCTGATGATCACTCTTATCATGAGCCAGGCCCCCTAATTTAAATTCTTCTAAATATTAAAGAGGGGGGGGGTAGGAGAAGGGACATGTTTCTATTAAGCTTACGGGTCTAGGTTGCTTTTATCTCAAAATAATCCTCATACCACAAGCACGTCGTGGGGTGACTCACTCTGAACCTACCCCACCACCCACCCACCCACACACACACACACACACACACACACACACCTGTTGGGCAAAAATGCTACCAATACTACTTTATTTTTGTAAGCATTGTTGGGAACCATCTAACATTTAAGTGAAAGTGCCCATCAGGATCACAAAGGTCACCCTTCATTTCCAAACAAAATAAATCAAAAATAAGTTTTTCATGACTTGCCCATGTTTCATGAGAGTAATTCAGCAGAGGCAGAAGGCAGCATAGTTGCATGTAACTGGTCAGTGATCTACATACTGTATTTTTTCAAGAGATTTTTTTTTAATGATACCAAAAAGAAATCTTGAAATCCTATTAAAAATGACATTAACAAGGGCACCAATTCCATCCCCTTGCAAAATGTCCTGACACTAATTTAGGGTGTTACCATCACTATTACCATTATCCTTATCAAGGATGAAATTTCTTGTTATCAGTTTCCCTTCCCTGCACACCCCTTCAGTACTTCCCAGTTTCCCAGCCTGAATGGCTAAAACTCAGAAGGAGTGAAGCAGTTTATCTCTGAGCATCCTCATCCTCAGCCCCACACCCTCAAAAGTCTGAGACATCTCATTCATCCAGAGCCCCTGACTCAGGCTCTGACATTCCACGTCCTTATTCCTCTTGCTGCGGTTCCTCCATAGACATGCGTTCTCAGTGTTGAAGAGTCAGAAGATTTTCTGGGGCCTCCTGCCAATGCTTATTCATCAAGAGTTGCTTTGAGATTCCTGGCATGTACCCCCTCCCCTCTCACCTTCCCCCACGCCTCTGCTTTATTCCTTTTTCAGCCCCCTGGGACCTGCTCTCCCTAGTCTCCTTCCTGGCTGCCACCTCCCACCCTCTAATCTAGAATCTCTGTGCCAGCTGACTGGAGGACAAGGTCCACCTCTGACTCCTCACTGCACCTCTGCAGCACGTTTCACTGCTCCTAACTCTGGGTAGGCAGTCTGTTGATTCTTTCCAGATGAACAAACCAAGTCAACCATCCTGACTAATCTTTGCTGTTACGGGCGGAATGTTTGTGTCCCTCAAAAATTCATATGGTGAGGCCCTAACCCCCAGTGTGATAGTGGGGCCTTCGGGAAATAATTAGAGTTAGATGAGGTTATGACGATAGTGCTCTCATAAAGGAATTATTGACCTTACAAATAAAAGGAAGAGACAACGGAGTGTTCTCTCTCTCTCTATCTCACCCCCACGTGTACACACACACACACACACACACACACACACACACACATGGTCATGTGAACACAATTAAATGGTTGCCCTTTTCAAGCTAGGAAGAGGGCCCTTACCAAAACCAAATCTTCCAGCAAGTTGATCTTGGATTTATCAGTCTGCAGAATTGTGATAAATAATTGTCTGTTGTTTGAGCCACTCAGTCTATGGCATTTTATTACAGCAGCCCAAGCAGACTAAGACCCTTATTTTGCCAAGAACTATGCTAGGCACCTTTACATCTAAGTCCCTATATGTCCTAACCTGCCCAGTTCAGGTGACTCTCATCATCCCTCAATATATAAAGAAGGCACTAAGGCCCAGAGAAGATGCTGGTAAAATATCCCAAAGACAGAGGAAGGGGCAGAGTTTGGATGGAAAAATAAGAATTCAGATTTTGTTCAGAGGACCTAAAATGTGCTTGTTGGTTAATTAGAATCAAATTAAAAACAGAGGCTTTCACCTATTTGCCAGCTCAGCCACATAATATAAGCATAAAGAAACGGTGGCCCAGAAGGGACAGCTTTTGGCAGAGCCCAGAGGCCATGTGTGTATGTATGCATGCATGCATGCAGATGTGCACACGTGTATGTTATCAGGGCACTCTGCTCCTCAAGCCAACACTCCCTCCGATTGCAGAATAACATGAGGAGTTATAAGAGAAGCAGCCAGCACAAGGGATTTGTGAGGGCTGAGGGGGGAAACAGCCTTCACAGGGGAATCACATTGCACCAAAATGGAACAAAATCCCCACTGACTATGTCTTACTGTCCCGGCTGTATTGGTGAGCCTTTGGGAGCAAGCAAGAGAGAAGAGTGCAAAGGGGAGATAAATAAGAGAGAGAGAATTATCATTTGGAGAGAAGAGGAATGTGAAAAAGCAAGAGTGTTGACTAAGGAGGGGGCACATGTCAGACATCCTTCCTCTCTCACTTCTGGCACTCACACAGTAGGGGCTTCAGGAGGCCTATGAAGAAGGGGCGTAGCTGGCTGAAGGGAGGAGGCAGAGGTGGGCTGCCTGGGGCTTCCATACAGAATGTCATTTCCGGTGAGCAGCCCGGCATCTCCTAAGAGCTTGTTAGAAACGCAGGGTCTCGGAGCCCAACTCCGTACCTACTGAGTCTGAATCACATTTTAACAAGATGTGCACGTTAAAATCTGACGAGTACTTCCCTGGACACCCTGCTTGCAGGGAAAGCGCTGTGTTTTTATGAAGATTGCATGTTTATTTGAGATGATTTAAGTTGGCTGATGACAAAAAGGCATGGGGAGTGAGGAGAAGAATGAATGCCTTTGGTGTCATCACGGTGTCTTTCAGGATAACAGATTGGGAAAGGTTGGAAATGCCTATGGGAAATGCCTATGGGTTTAAAATCCCTATTGAAGACAGAGGGTTTAGGGGTGGAGGGGAGTGTGGAAGATGGTTTGTGATTTTCCCCCTCTCCCATATGGTTTCTTTAATTTAGCCTGAAAGTTCTCACAGCAGCACTTGTATCTACCAATTGGTCAAATAATTCATGTCAGCAATTCTGGTTCTGCTTAAAATGGCAGTTCTCTGGGGCCTAGTTAGTGACATCCCCTCCTCTTCCCCTCCCCGCACCCCCCCCCCCGCCCTCCACATGCCTGAGTACATATGCCCCCACTCTGAAAAGCCAGAGCGCATTACCCATGCTTCCATTCCCATCCCTGACACCCTCCACTCAACTGAGAACCTTCGTGGAAGCTCAGCTCAAGGCAGGGCTGTGGGCAGATCTTAGCGGGTTAGCAGCTTCTCAATCCCTCCCAGAAAGGAATGGCCCACAGGAAAGTCCCCTTCAGGACTCACGGAGGCTAGAAGGGTCTGCCCAAAGGGTCGGGAAACCAGCCAGCAGAAGCAGGCTGGGTTGATCACAGTAGACGGCCACCCGGGGAAAGGAGAAGCTAAGGGCCAGCCAGATGTGGGAGCACCCACAGCAAGGAGTGTGTGCCCTGAGGTTGCCGCCTGGGATGACCAGAAAGGTACAAGTGAGTTGCAGAGGTGAGTGTCCCGGGTGCCAACTCAGTCAAAGGTCCGAAAGGTCAAGACCTCAGGGAATCGAGGGTTATTTCCCAAGGAAGCCCCACCTTTCCCAAGGAAGCCCCCCAATTGCTCTCCAGGCTGTACAGTCACTCCTAGCAAAGATCAAAAACAGAGCCACCGCTTACCAAACACCACATAGACACAGAGGTTTGGGGGCAGACGGAAACTGCAATGACAAAGCAGCTTTGAAGCAGGTAAACAGGCTTTCGCCCTGAGAACACAGTGTAACCTCAGACAACTAGTTTAATTCTCAGAGCCTCGGCTTCCTCTGTTGTGAAATAAGTGCTTAACAACATTTACCCTAGGACCTTGGCGGCGATTGCAGGATATGGATACGTGTACACACACAGGTCCTGACCCACGACTGGCATTCAAGAACTCCTACTCTAACCCCCTCCTCACCTGTCTAAGGTGAGTGAGTTCAAGTTCAGGTAAGATACCAACCTGGGCTCTGTGACCTACTCACTCAAGCCCAGCCCTCTCTCCTTGTTCCTCTAGGTCTGATTTCATTCCCCATCGGGATCTAATTCTTTTTTCTTTTTTAAAAAATATATTTTATTGATTTTTTACAGAGAGGAAGAGAGAGGGATAGAAGTTAGAAACATCCATGAGAGAATCATCGATCAGCTGCCTCTTGCATACCCCCTACTGGGGATGTGCTCTCCTTGACCAGAATCGAACCTGAGACCTTTCAGTCTGAAGGCCGATGCTCTATCCACTGAGCCAAACCAGTTTCAGCAGGATCTGATTCTGACAAGTTGATTCATCCTTCCAGCCAGTCCCCTTCTCCAACAAAGGCACCCTAAGCCTTTTTGAG